TACTGGTGTGTGTGGCAACTGTTAGAGCAGAAGATCAGCTTGTGCAGGACTTGGAGACTGATGTCGCGAGATGCTAGCGTGGAATGGGGCTAACGGGTTGCTGTAATATGGGGTCATAGCTGGATTTGTTGGGTTTATTAAATTGTTGGGCTAATGTAATGTTTTTGAGTGGGTAATGGTTTAGGATGATGGGTTAATTGAGATGGGTATTTGAATATAGATGGTTTAGAATTTAATTTGGGTTGTACTTGAACAATGGATTGATTTTAATTTTGGACTAATGATTTTGGGAATTTAGGTTTTAATAATTTGGGCTTTTAAATTCCCAAAATAAACACATGGCTACCTAAACCCAAATATAACCAATCAAGCAAATATCCATCATTTATGGCTAAAATTTTCCGAAGCTCCCATCAATCGAATGTAGAAATTCCATGAACTAATTTCTAATTTCACCGTCAGTGCCTCTTGAATAATTCAACACCACACTTGAACATCTTCAAATTAATCTTCGATCCCCTTCAATTCGATTCAAATTTTCCAGACAAAATTAGGGTATTACATCATGCAACAATTGGAAGGTACAACTTGTTATCCCTGGAAATTTAAAATCTCTGTTTAAAATTTTATTCTCCCAGAAAATCAAGAGACAAGCGAAACCCATCTGGGACTTTTGAGTTTTTTCGGTCTTATATGGACCATTTGGCTTTGCCAATAATTAGCTGATTCTATTCTTATATGTAATGGGGTAAGAGGAGGTACGATAGTAGGTTGCCCCAATGCCTGGTTGAGAGCAGTTTCCATGAGAGACCTCCAGCAGTCAGAATTATGAATTACCCACTGTGGGACTCGATCCCACGACCACAATGTTAAGAGCCTTGCGCTCTACCAACTGAGCTGACGGGCAATTTGTACTTTTTACCGTAAGTGATTTAGTGGTAAGAAAATTATTATTATTTCAAAATTAGAAATATCATAGACACAAGCGTTTAATATAAAAAGGTTAAGAGTTATCTTTGATCAGATATTATTTTATATTTATCTTAAATTAATAAAAAAAATTAAATAATCTAACCCATGGAACATTATGACCATTCAACATTGCATAGTCGGGAAATCCTGATTACTGCCGATGTCATCGTGTATATAGTGTATCGTAAAAGAAAGATATGCTGGATCCGAAGCAATCGCAATTTGGAGGAGCATAACAAGTAAATTGTTTGCATGAACCCACTTTCTAAATATACGGATATTTTGCAAATAAATGGTCACCCTCAAACCGTTTGCTTGTCTCCTAAGTTAATTATACCAATCACTTTGTTAATGTTACAAAGTCTTGGACCAGCAAGTATATTAGGGATATTGTAATAAAACTTGGTGGCACGTCAGGTACAATTGTCCTCACTCGATTTTCTTATCTCTCATGCTTTCATCATTGGGTTTTTATTTTTTTCTAATTTAAACAGTCCATTTTAAATATTATTTTTAATCATTTTATTATTTAAATATTATTTTTAATTGTTTTATCTCTTTCTCTCACTATCTATTTTAATCAATTCAGAATTTGGTCACCGTTCTTCTCGATCAGTCAACAACAACGAACGTTCAATGAATCCTAAAATTTTCTACCAAGCTCGTTTTGTCATCCTGGATGCAAATATGATGTTTGTTTAATCATAGAACAACTCAAGCTCCATGAATACTATACAATTTCATGATTTGATTTTTTATTCTCTTGACATTCTCATTCATCCTTGGATAAATCCCAAATAAAAATATGTCTCTCTGCTCTAATAAAAGTCTCATCCTTGTTGAGATATTCAAACGAAGATTTAGATCGTCAGAGTTGTTGATTAGATAAATATGTTATAACAAAGTTTTAATTTTTTATTTTTTTTATTAAGCTAAAGGTGATTACAAAATTGTATTTGTTCTAAATACTCTCAACCATTTGATAATGGACGCTCAATCACCCTTTCAGTCGTTGGTGCTTAAACCTATGACCTATAGGAATAACAACAATTCTTTTAACCATCGAGGTAAGTTAATTCGTATAACAAAACTTTATTAATCAAATAAATATGCACTTATAAATTAATTTGAACTCTAATTTTACCTCTCAAATATTGAATATACATCCATATATATATTTCACATTATATTATATACATATAAGGGATTTTCAAATTAATCTAAATGAAAAAAAAACTTGAAGAAAATAAACTTGAAGAAAATTTAAGTTCAGGTTCAAATGTCATATTCGAATTTGGGTCAAGGAAATTAGAATATAATGATCTAAAAATTTTAGGGTTTAATGTATATCGACGTGGTGGTTGAAATTTAGGTTGGTATTTATATGCCTTCAAATTTAATTTAAAAAAAACATATCACCCTATGTCGGAACAAATTTTAGCGAAGAAAGAATTAAGATTAAGACGAAATCAAATGTAAGATAAAAAAATTTAGACTTGACCCGACTTAAAATAAGTTATTATACTATCCATTTATGTATCATCTCTCTCTGATATGTTCGTTTAAATGCCATTGAACGGATGTTCAATGTCGGTAATTTGTAACTTCTACTTAAACTATAGGGTAAAGAACACAAATAGTCCCTCGACTATATGATGATGCTTTGTTGAGTTTCTCAACTATTAAAAGTTATAAAATGGTCTTTCAACTATAAAGTGTTGATTTGTTGAGTCCCCGACTATTAAAAGTTATAAAATGATCACTTAACTATTTAGTATGTTCCAAACTCATCCTTTTCCGTTTAAAAATTGACAACAATCTAAGTTGGATGTTAACATGTTAACCGAGATATGATAGTTTTTTTAGATTCATGGATCAAATTTTAACGAAAAATGACAAGTTTGGAACATCCTAAATAGTCGGATAACCATTTTATAACTTTTAATAGTCAGGAGAGTCAACAAAGCAACACCCTATAGTCGAATTACCATTAAGGAACTCAATAAAGCATCACCTTATAATCGGGGACCACTTGTATACTTTACCCTAAAATTTAAATAATTTCAAAAAATCATTCAAAAAAAATCAGATTAAATAAAGATTCTTAATTTTCGAACAAGTCATATCTATTTTGTTTCATCCCTTCCTTACTTTTAAACATTACAACAAAGGTGCATATAACATTAATCACGGACGGTCAATGTACTAATATATATATATATATATATATTAGGATTTCATATTATCTCATATTTTATAGATTTGAATCGTAAAAAAGATTCTTAATTTTCGAACAAGTCATATCTATTTTGTTTCATCCCTTCCTTACTTTTAAACATTACAACAAAGGTGCATATAACATTAATCACGGACGGTCAATGTACTAATATATATATATATATATATATTAGGATTGTTCATATTATCTCATATTTTATAGATTTGAATCGTAAAATCTCTTTATTTTATCAATAAATATATGTAATGAATGTGATTGAAGAGTTGGGTAGGGCATTGGCCAAACCGTACGTACGTGACCGTAACAAAGCGTTGAGAAGAGCGTGTTTAAATTTGGTAGAAATTAATGAAGACCGGCTATGGCTCTCTCTGGACCTTAGAACATGGGGATTGCCCTAGATGTATCCAGAAGTGAGCCAAGTGGTCCCCCGCCATCATTTATTTTTCAAATTTATTTCTAATTCTGACTATATATCTTCACCAAAGTCAAAATATTCACATACCATAACTCTTCATGAAGAGAGAAAAAAAATAGTTGATGAATATAATAAAATCAATCAGTCACATGTGGAGCTATAGTGAAGTAACCACGTGTTATTCTCCACACAGCTATCCAGTTGCATAATTTTTGTTATACAGGATTTCATCAATTATTGTAGAAAGTTGAATTATTGTATTTAAATTTTAATGTCTCATGCGAACTTGAGTAATCTCGATAGTAAATGAATTATTATTATTTATTGAGTTCTCAGGTTTGAGCATCAGTAATATCAGTGATACGAGTATTTAATATCAAAAAGTTAAGAATTATCTTTGAACAGAGACTATATTGTACTTACTTCAAATTAATAAAAAATTAAAAATGTAAACAAATTGGATGAATTATTAACATGTGTTAAAATTCAAATTAGATTTGATTATAGTGTTATATTAAATTTGGAGGACTAATTATTCAAAACTATAAGTTCTAACAATTTTTATGATATCTCTTCAAAATTCTGGTAAGGTGTTTATATACCAGTAGGGTACGGCAGGTAGGTGGGCTGAATATGTGCCACCCAATTAATTAATGTCTACAAATTAGCTCCAAACATTTATTGCCAAAATTAAACACAAGAAGAAAAAATCCATGGTTAATTTACAATGGAGAGTACTCCATATGGGGGGAAAGTCCTAAAATTTTAGAAGTTGATGCAAAATATATAGAGGGATCTTGCACCAGAGACAAAATCCCTACAATTAAGGCTTCTGAACTAAATCGACAGAGGCATCAAAAACCTGCAAATAGAAATAACACTAATAGAAACACACACACATATATATATACAACTATAACAAGCACGTACATGCATGTGAATCGCTGGAACGTCATCTGTCAATGGATTCTCAGAACCCGAAGCCCTAAATTTTCAAGAAGGGAATGCCAATTGCTTTCATAAACACTACCCTTCAGGTCTCAAGTCATATATTAGGATTGATTGTGATAATATCTGTTGTTGGACAAATATACAAACATGATACTAATATAAAAACGCGTTTAAGTAATTTAAATCTGAGAAAAGGGAGGGGTCATGATGTCCTTAGAGAGGGCAACAAGGGGGTTTCGTCCAGGCATGTCCTATAGTATAAGCTCTCTCACAAACCCCAAAAACACCCATGGTCTGTTTTTTGTCCCCACAGCCTCACATGCCTTTGTTTTCTCTCTTTCAAGAACCCATCAGCCTCACACAATATATACCCCCTCACCCTTCATTCGTCTCTAAACCATTCTCTCTTTCTTCATTTTCTCCTCCAGGAAAACCAAAATGGCTATCAGGAAACCAAACAAATTGGCACAAACAGCAGTGATAAAGCAAATCCTGAAAAGATGCTCCAGCTTGGGAAAGAAACAAAGCTACGATGAACAAGGACTCCCCCTGGATGTCCCTAGAGGGCACTTCGTCGTATATGTTGGGGAAAACAGAAGCAGATACATTGTACCCATCTCTTTCTTGACCCGACCCGCGTTCCAGACCTTGCTTCATCAAGCTGAAGAAGAGTTTGGTTTCGCTCAAGACATGGGCCTCACCATTCCTTGTGAAGAAGTTGTTTTCCAGTCCCTAACATCATTGCTCAGATGAAAATAACTCTGCTTAATCCTTGTTTTTGGAGAAGGTGAAGCTGCTTCATTGCTTCTCTTTGATTTTTTTCCCCTCTGACCCGACAAATATTATTTAGTTTATGTCTGGGTTTTAGATTTGTAAATCTGAGAACAGTTTGCAAAATTTTCCTCACCGAGGTGTGGGTTGTAAATCAACTACCGATGTACCCTGTGAGAGAACTAATGTCAAGAATTTTGGGGCTGCCTATCGGCTCTCCTTTTTTTTTCCTTTTGCTCTGCATAATCTGTCTCTTGCCCGCTCAAGCTCCAGTCGCAGGTTAAGCACACGCACCCCGGTTTTTCTGGTTTTTTGTCTCATTGCCTGTTTCTGGTTAACTCAACTGTTCAAGCCGTTAGATGCGATATCTAGCAGACAACTCATTGGAACCACGGAATGTTTTGGTAAAACTCATCAAACAAAATAAAAAATTGGGTAAACTACACCAAATGTTTTGGTATGTTTTAATTTCACCACTGATGTTTTAAAAGTTATAAATTGGTCACTAACATTATCGTTTGTTACAAATTAGTCACTCACCGTTAATATGCACCGAGTGAAATTTTTTTCTTCACAAACAAGATTTTAATATTAACAGTATTTATTTAAAAAAAAGTTTGGGGAAGAAAAAAGTTAATTTTATTAAAAACCGTTAATTTTTTTTGTTTTTATAATTAATTTTAATTTTTTGATTTCCTTTTTAACAAATATATCATTATTTATAAGAATTAAAAATAAATATATTTTAATTTATTAAAACTAGGATCAAATTGAAAGAATATATAAATAACATAGACTATTTGTGTAATTATACCATCCAAGTAAGCTTATTAACTGATGTTAACAGGCCACGTGTGTTTTCCGTCACGCCTGTTAACGGCGAGTGCCCAATTTGTAACAGCGATAATGTTAGTGACCGATTTGTAACTTTTGAAACATCAGTGGTAAAAATGAATATATACCCAAACATTAGTGACCATTGGAATAGTTTACCCTAAAAAATAAATTTAAAGGAAAGAAAGAAGTTGAAAACAAAATAAATATATCTTTTTTGAAATCAACATATAATATAATTTTTAGACCGGAATCTAAATAACATAATTATAATACTTCCTATATTTTCCTCCATTTTTTCACCTTTCAGACCATCATTCAGTTACTATATTTAATATCTTTTCCGTATAAACTCAAAAATGTTCGGACCACATTGATGGATTAACATCCACGTAGGATTGCCATGTGATGAGGGCCCACAAAGAAGAAATCACGTACTACAGGTTAGGGAAGATTATCATCACCGGCTACAGTCAAGTCAAGTATTGATCCCAACAATTGAACGGCTTAGATTGCACACCAACTTACTCTAATTTCCACTCTCTCGTCAATGTAATGGGTTGTTTGGGAAAAAAAACTTATAGCTGGTAGTTAGTATTGGTATGACCAACTAATCTGATTAATTGATTTGAGAAATTATTTATACACAAGTGTATGGTAAAATATAACTGATAGTTGATATAAGTAAAATGATAAATAAAGATATGATACATTTAATTGTTAAGTACGTATATGTTTTATAATACTTTAGTCTTTATTGAGGCGAAACTATTTGAGTAAAATGTTTTTTACAAAGAATTAAAAATTATTTAAGAAAATTGGTGAATATTTTTGAAAACTTTGAATATATTTTTAAAATTTAATATTTGCAAATATTAATTTTGTGAGATTGATACATACTATTAACCTTGTATAAAATATCATTACATTTATTTTTTACTTTCATGTTTTGATATATTTTCTTAACTGAAATATATTTGAGAATCTACAAATAAAAAATAGAATAATAAAATAAAAGTTCACTAATTCATCATTAGATGTTGCATAAAATTCATTGTACACAAGTTTATTGAAAATGAATTTAGATTACATAAATATTTGAGAAAGAGATACATATCCAAACAAGTACAAACAAATAGGAATATTTCAGAAATATGGTATGGATTAGGATGGAAATAATGAGGTTTTATAGAAAGGATGTAATTACGAAAATAATAAGATCAAATATATCATTTAACATCTTATTTTGCAATCAACTCTTTCACACCGTTGGATTTTTCAATATTTTCATTTTCTACTTATTTTGTACAATCAACTCTTTCAAAAAGATATTCACCAAACACTAAAAATAAAAGGTTTGACTACCCATCAATTATTTATACTCAAATAAATTAAAAATTCTTCAAAAAATTTGTTTATCAAACACCCCAAATATCATCTTCAACAATTGAACGGCTTCTTATGGTGGTCAAATTTTGCGTTTGATCCTTGTACTATGTTAAATTTTAAAATCTAATCCCCATACTTTAATATAATTGAATTCTTATACTTTTATGATGTTATTAATTAATTTAATCTAATCCATATGTTTTGGTTAGAACAAGGGACCACCACCAATCAAATTCATAATTAATTTAATTATGATATTTGGCCATTTAGTTCCTTGGTAAAAAGGTAAGTTTTTTTTAATCTTAGAATAAAATGTTTGTCGTATTTATCTCGTAACTTGTTTAGGATAATTTTCTTACGTAATGTGTCAATGTTGGGTTCATTTATATAAAAGAAAATTGCTTCACTAGATCTTGTACTATAATTTGAGTGTTGGATCTTAATTGATTCTCTCAAGTGCGCGATTGTCATTTACTCCCACGACAAAACGTACGTGATTAGTGGATGCTATACGCTTTTAAAACCAATTGCTCGACAGCAAAGAGAGACACCCACTGTGATTAAGACAATATTATATATAAAATATTCTTTATTATATTTGTCATGTCTTTAATCAATAAACAATAGATAATATCTACGAGCATCGTTCATCATCATCAACAATCATCAGCGATGAAAAGCAAATAGGAATGTGCAAGAGATGCAGTGATTGACGATCAAACAAAAAACAAACAAAAGTTTTAAATGCACAGGTGGAAGTATATAAATAATTAACAAACTCCATAGCCAATAACATCAGTTGACAAAGAATATATCAAAACCTTCATTTGTTTTGAGCAGACAACGGTCGAAGCTCAAGACTCAACTTTCCTTTTCCCCCATCAAATCAGATTCAACCCACGGAGATGAGATTTACTTTCCCACACGCAACTCATTGGAATGAATTCATTAAAAAAATGAGTAAACTACACGTTTAATACATAAATTATTAGTTTTGATTCATTTTAGTATATAAACTTTCATTTTTTTCAAAATCATACATAATGTTTAGTTTTTGTTTCGTTTTAGTACCCCTATTAAAAACTTAACGTTAAGTGTTGAACAAATTTGTTAGTTTAGGTACTAAAATGGACCAAAGTTTATAGTTTAGGTACTAAACATGTTAAGTTTTTAATGGTGGGGTACTAAAATGGAACAAAAACTAAACGTTAACTATGATTTTAAAAAAATTGAAAGTTTAAGTACTAAACGTGTAGTTTACCCTAAAAAAATTAGGGATAAATATTGATAAAATCATATAAAGAATTTAGTCAATTTTATAATATAATACATAAATTTTAATTTAATCTATTATATACATGAAATTTTAATTTTAAATTGTTTATGCACATTTTAGATACATTTACTTTTATATTAGATAAATGTAATTATTTGTGTAAATAACATTTAAATGTAAAATGATGATAATATCATCTTCAATAAATTGTGAAAATTGAATGACATAAAACTTCATATATACAATTGCACAAAATAATATTGCATACTTTACTTAAATTTATGAAAATTTGTTTATGAATTTCATTTGAAGGAGTAAAATGTTTACATTCATTACAATTAAGGACTTGGTTTTTCCCCTAGATAGTTTTAGCTTAATATATTATTATATTCAGGTTGCTAACTTTCATTAAATTAATTTTTTTAACAATTTCTACTTACGAGGAGCGGAATGAGAATTTTGCTCCTAATGTGTAAAAAATTAAAATATTTTAAATACATCAAAATAGAAAAAGTATATATTTTTTAAAATTTAAAACATATCTTCTAACTAAAATTTATTAATGTAAACATACTTGGTATATTAAAACTAGGATATAATTATTTATGTAACAAATATGGCTACATAAACAGTCGAAATTAATAAAATTACATCTACGCCAAAGCATTAGTTCACGATGTGAAACACAATAGCATACTTGAGCTACAAAAGTCGAAAACGAGGTCTCTAAACTTGGATTATTCTAACTATTATTACCCATCTCCTCAATCATCAACTTCTACGCATTTTGCAGGTTTAATGACCATTCTTCCCTTTGGAGGAAAAGAATCTGCTAAAGCCTCGCGATTGTTTCCCCGGCATTGGGTCCGAATAAGAAAACGAAGAGCTCGACATGCTAGACCTGTGTTTTGTGTGGTTCGACTTGATTGGCAATGTCGAAAGGTTTGCTTCATTATCAGAGGTGCTATGCGGCGTGTTATATGACTCCATAGGCATGGGAGACTCTGCACCTGTTATCCTTCCATTGCCTGTCTCTGCCTGATCCAAGTCTTGCAAGTTGACTCCGCTGGTCGTTGATTCACCCTCACTCAAACTTTCTCCATTTCGGTTCCACTCTTTGTATGGTGACCCCATCGTGTCTGTCGTAGGACGCAAAGATTTCAATTGCTTGCCAAGAAGGAATATAGTTTCTTGACACTGCGCCCTTTTCTCCGCTGCAGCTGCTAATTCTTTCTCCTGAAATCGAATGAAACTATCTTAACTTGGTTAATTTAGAACTTTAAACGTGGAACTGTAAAAAATTGTACTGTTTCATTATCAGCAACTTTGTCAACTGATCATATCTTTGTTGGACGTTTTGTGTTTGCACACAGTAATATCAGATTTCAATGCAAGTGTTAAAAAACTAATTTTAAGGAACAATGGTCCTCACCTGCTTGTTCTTGAGGTCATTATCAGCTGCTGAAGAACAAACAGAACAGTTCTCGTTCCTAAAAAGTGATGGACAACAATTAAGAAATTATTACAAGTAAAAACATGGCATTTAGAAAATAGAACCATACAATTAGTTGTTCCGAACATATGCATACCCGTGTCTAACATTAACGCCCAAGTCTGAGTAAGTTAGTAACGTAGTTTCAAACAATATGAAATGAGTTTGAGGCTTACCTTTGCAATAGCCCTTCGAGTTCCTTACATCTGGCTAAAGCATCTTGATGATTTCTCTTGTCA